CAAAAAAAAAAAAAAAAAAAAAGAGTATGAAGGCACAGGTGAAAGTGCCAGAGTTGCTGCTGCAAACTGAGAGCTCTGCCAGGACAGGAACTGACTCTGGCTTTGAACTCTCTTCTAAGCTTTGTGGCCACGCTGGTTGGGGAGGGGAGCTGTGGGACAGGACCACAGAAGGTCTAGCAGTTGGGAAGTAGGGGACAGCCCCTGCATCACTGCCTTGAGAGTTTCTGACCTATGACCTTTTCAAAAGGCACTCTCACATGAGGGAAAGAACCGTTCAGGTGGATGCTGGGAAAGATAACTCACTTGATTCTTGCGTTTTTCCTCTGTCCCTCCAATGCTTTGTTTTCTTCTCCTTGGGAGTCAGACTCAGTGACCTGGACTTTACTTCCTTGAGGGCCAGTGTAACTTAAGGTCAGAGCTTTCCTCTTCCCTTCATGGGATCTGGAGCCATATAGACCCAGCTCCACCAAATATTAGTTGAATAGTTTTGGACAAGCCCTTTAACCTCTCTATTCCTGTTTTCCACATCTCTAAAATGGGACAGTGGTGATTAGTCTGAAAAGAAGATGCCGTTGCTGTCTTTATTACTGTGCTGGGCAAGGGACTTTGTGCAGCTCTTCCCCTGTCACCAAGGTGGGAGGAAAGGGTAAGATAAAGCACTGTGCAGCCAGGGTGGAGGTCGGTAGCACTGGAGGGCTTCATTATTCAGGGTCCCCATCAGATGTGGGCCTCAGACCAGTGAAGAGAAAGTAGTAGGCTGAGAAAAGGGCTGTTTCTCTCCAACTCTGCTTCCTACCATGCAATGACATGTGTGGGAAGGAGCTAGGAGAAGCAGTCTGTGTGAGTATCCTCTCTTCTGCCCTGTTGAGCTGCTTTGGAGGTACCCTGAAGTCTACTTTGTGATTCATTTTGTTTTTCTAGCCCATCCTTCCGGAAATCGCGAATGTCCCGAGCCCAGAGCTTCCCAGACAACAGACAGGAATTCTCGGGTGAGTTCTCCAGAGCCTGGGTGAGCACTGCGGGGTGTCCGGGTGGGGCTGCAGGCAGTCTGCTTTTGATGGCTGAGTTGGGAAGAGAAGCCAGGGCTGTATTTTAATTCTCCTCGGGCTTGCTGCTCTGAGGCCTCAGGTGACGTAGAGGCTTAAATGGATCACTAACATTGGCCTGTCGAGAAGCCAGTGATTCCTCTCTCCTACTCAGAACGGGAAACTCAGCTCTATGACAAAGGGGTCAAAGGTGGAACCTACCCCCGGCGCTACCACGTGTCCGTGCACCACAAGGACTACAATGACGGTGAGTGTGCCTCCATCCTGCCCCCTGCTGGCCATCTCAGAAGGGACGTGGTTAAAGCTCCTCCAGGAAAAGCCACTGGAGCGGGTGGCCCAGGCACTCCAGGCCCCATGTTTCCTTTATTCCTGAGGAACTGTGCCCAGGCTTGAGGCAGTAGAGTCAGGGTTAAAAAAAAAAAAAAAAAAAAAAAAAAAAGAGGGAGGCTGGTATTTGTAGACTGATGCTGCCTCTGGGAACTCTGTCCTTTGTCTGAGTGCACAGCGTGCTCCAGGGCGCCAGCTCTCCAACGCCCCCTTCTGCCTCACGCAGCAAACGGAATGGCGCTTCCTCAGAGGTTTAGGGTTAGGATGCCAAGGAAAACAGATCAGCCGTGGATTAGCCCTGTGAGTGATGTAGGACGTAGGGGCCAGCCCTATGCTTTCGCTTTGGCTAGGTTTCCCTAAACCATCTGGCTGCTTTCTAATTCCTGCTTTTGTCCTGATTCTCAGGATGCTTGAGACATTAGCCATTCTGGCACGAGTCAGGTGGGAGGGCAGATAGGTTCTGGAGAGCTCACCCGACTGGAGCTGCTGTTATGTCCCGGTTTGCACATTCAGCCTGTGGCCAGGGGTCTGACTTGCTCTATTCTGGCCCCTGCAACCCTTCAGGCAGAAGAACATTTCCCCGAATACGGCGTCATCAAGGCAACCTGTTCACCCTGGTGCCCTCCAGCCGCTCCCTGAGCACAAATGGCGAGAACATGGGCCTGGCAGTGCAGTACCTGGACCCCCGAGGGCGCCTGCGGAGTGCGGACAGTGAGAATGCCCTCTCTGTGCAGGAGAGGAACGTGCCAACCAAGTGTGAGGAGTGGGCCCTGGCCAGGTGGAGGCTGCCCAGGGGATGCTCAGACCAGCTGCAGGGCAGGAGGCCAGCAGGTCCACTGGGGCTGTTTGGCTCAGCAGTTGGCAGCTCTGGCCCATCCGCACCCAGTGGAAGAGCCCGAGGGTGGGCAGCAGATCCCCTGGACCTTAGTCCTCACTCCACTGTTGTGTGACAAGCCACTTCTCTCTGGCCTTTAGTTTCTCCATGTTTAAACTGAAGAGCAGTCTCCTTAATCCCCGACATAATGAGATATTTGGGGGCCTTGGAAGTATGAAGGTATTTAATCAATTCAGATGAACATTTAACCACTGTTTTAGCCAGTTCTCTGCTTCTCAGGCCTTGGGCCTTAAGGTCTGATTGACCAGGGCACTGAGCCTGTTCCAGATGGGCGTGGAGATGCTATGCTGAGAGATGTGATGATGCCGGGTGAGGGGGCAGCTCGGGCCTCTGTAGGATGAGGCAGGATATCGGTAACTAAGTGCACGAACTCTAATGCTCTTTCCTTCTGTTCTCCTGTAGCTCCCAGTGCCCCCATCAATTGGCGCCGGGGGAAGCTCCTGGGCCAGGGTGCCTTTGGCAGGGTCTATTTGTGCTATGATGTGGACACAGGACGAGAACTTGCTTCCAAGCAGGTCCAGTTTGACCCAGATAGTCCTGAGACAAGCAAGGTATTGCCTTCCCCATGGTCTGACTTCCAGTTCCTCCCTCTCGAGAAAATACCTGTCTCGTTGCACAAATTGCTCGAGATGCTACAGGTTGCTTCTCCCATCATTCTTCCTCCCAGGCTCCCTTGCTGTTGACCCTGGCCCAGGGGAGAGATTGGGTATGAGGAACTGAGTTGGTGCCAGAGTACCAAGCAACCCAAACTGGGAGGTGATGGCCAGTGCTACAAAGAGCAGTACCTGCCCCACCCTCACCAAACAGATGCCTCTCTCTCCCAGCTCTCAGACCAGGAAAGAGCCTGTCTTTGGAGCTTAGCTTTGGATGTGACCTTCATTCCAGTTTGAGTGGATAAATACAGCAGTTATCTAAACTGCTTAGTTGCACCCACAAACCCATCTCCCACCCCACTGTCTGCTGTCTTCCAGCATGGGAGTGCCACCGTCCCAAGGCTTAGCCGGCATTGTGGACAAGGGCCAAACAGTTGAGAGAGTCCCCCCTTTTCTCCAGCTGAAGTTCCCAAGGCAGACGGACTCCTCTGAGGCCACTGACTAGGGCAAGCTGAGCTGATCCTAGGCAGGTAGAACCAGGGCCCTGAAAGCCTAGGTGACCACTGGGCCTCTCCCCTAGGAGGTGAGTGCACTGGAGTGTGAGATCCAGTTGCTGAAGAACTTGCAGCACGAGCGCATAGTGCAGTACTATGGCTGCCTGCGGGACCGTGCCGAGAGGACCCTGACCATCTTCATGGAGTACATGCCGGGGGTATGTGCCCCTGATGCCTGTGGGACACACGAGAGGACCTCTCCTGGGGCTGGGGGCTGTGGAGGACGGGTCCCTTTGACATGGGTCTGATTACCTGAGACTCCAGAGGCTCAGGGGGGAAGGTGAGGCAGTGGCAGGACTTGGAGTCAGCAGGCCCTGCGTCTGGCTGCAGTGATGGTGTGGGATAAGAAATGTCCCAGGCTACCCTAACCTGAGGCTTACAGGGCAGCTGCACTGTCCAGTAAGTAGCACCTTTACCTAGAGGAGACAGACCTCCCTTCTGGATTTGGGTCATCTGTTGCTTGAGGAAAGGACTGTCTCAGACTTTTCTCCAAGCTGCCTGACAGCCCCTAGCAAAGTGCCTGGCACATCACAAATGGGGATCGGAAGAATCACTCCTTTGCCGAATGCCGGGGGCGGGAAGTAGCCTTGCCCCTTCCCACCACCTTCCTGCAGTGACTCCCTCTGACTCCTGTGGCTTTAGGGCTCAGTGAAAGACCAGTTGAAGGCCTACGGAGCTCTGACAGAGAGTGTGACCCGAAAATACACCCGGCAGATCCTGGAGGGCATGTCCTACCTGCACAGTAACATGATTGTTCACCGGGACATCAAGGGTGAGCAGGGGCAGGCTGTGTGGTCCCCGTGACCTAGTTACTTGGGAACTTTCGACCTGGTCATTTTGAACTTTCTGGAAAGTGGAACCGTAATTGCTTCCTTGGGGGATCGGCATGAAGATCAGTTAAGCAATTTGGGAAAATACTGTGAAGTGCTCTGCAGATGTTGGCCATAGTGATGACGGTTTGGTGCTGTAGGGCTGAGGCTTCCCGTCACTAGCCTGTTTGTTCTGTGCAGTTCATGTCTAATTCATCGTAGCCCCCCATCCTCCCCAGCAGCCCTTTGACCTGGGAGGGAGAGACAGAGGGAGGATGGTGGAAAGTGCCCAGGGGTCCAGGGTTGCAGCCTCTGCCCTTTCATGCCTTAGGAGCCAACATCCTCCGAGACTCTGCTGGGAATGTGAAGCTGGGGGACTTTGGGGCCAGCAAGCGCCTGCAGACCATCTGCATGTCAGGCACGGGCATGCGCTCAGTCACTGGCACACCCTACTGGATGAGCCCTGAGGTGATCAGCGGTGAGGGCTACGGAAGGAAGGCAGACGTGTGGTGAGCACTGGGGACGTGCTGGGGCCCCATCTCCCTGTCTGGGCTGTAGCGGCTCCAACTTAGAAATGAGGCTTGGGGGCTTTGCAGTGTGGCAGGAGGGAGTGAGAACTCACCTCTGGCCAGCGAGGCCAGGTTGCAGGCTCTGTGTGGGCAGAGGTGGTGGTGCCTGCAGCAGTACATAGAGCAGCTGCGCTGTGTTTTAACTCTGAATAGCAACTGCTCTGTTATCACTGAGAACTTAGGCCATGGAAAACATCCCTGATGTTTGCTAAATCCCTGAAAGAACTAGGATCCAATCTGAAGGCCTGATCTGTCTCTAAACAGTAGCAGGCTTCCGCTCCCTCCTAGTGCTCAGGTGGCTTGCATCTGCTCTACCTAACTTCATGTCCATCCTCTGAAAGGGCCTGAAAGTTGAGGGTATCACTTCCTCTTAGAATGTTACTGTGGTGGGATGAATAATGGTCCCTGAAGATGTCCACATACTAATGCCAAAGGGATTAGTAAATGTACCTGTAAATGTTACCTTATATGACAGTAAGGCCTTTGCAGATTAATTTAAGAACTTTGAGATGGGGAGATGATCCTGGATTATCCAGATGGGCTCAGTATAAGCACAAAGGTCCTTATAAAAGGAAGGCAGGATATCAGAGTGAGCAGTAAGAGGTGACAGAGGAAACAAGAGGTTGGAGTGACGCAAGGCAGGGGCCATGAACCAAGGAATGCAGGCAGCCTCTAGTAGCTGGAAAAGGCAGGGTAATGGATTCTCCTCTCAGAGCCTCCAGAAGGAACCATCCCACTGATACGTTGACTTTAGCCCAGTGAGACTCATTTTAGACTTCCGACCTCCAAAATGATGATAAATTTATACCACTAGGTTCGTGGTAATTTGTTACAGCAGCAGCAGGAACTAATACCGTTATCTCAGAGCTCTTTCTGAACATGCTGAAGTGGTTCTCTTCCCCAATGTCAGGAAGCACCTGGGTGGGTGTAGGTTGATGAAGCCCACATGGACGAAGCTGACGGGGCTTTGAAGCCTCTTCTGGCCTTGGGGACCCTCTACAGCCTTGTCAACTGTCAGCTTGGCCCATCCTGTCTCAGTGTGTTCTGGGAAGGGCACCTCCGTTCACAACAGTGGGCAGGGCAGCTGGGGCAGGTTGAGGGGGTGACACTGGGGTTCTCTTTACAGGAGCCTGGGCTGCACTGTGGTGGAGATGCTGACAGAGAAACCACCTTGGGCAGAGTATGAAGCCATGGCCGCCATTTTCAAGATTGCCACCCAGCCCACCAATCCTCAGCTGCCCTCCCACATCTCTGAGCATGGCCGGGACTTCCTGAGGCGCATTTTTGTGGAGGCCCGCCAGAGACCTTCGGCCGAGGAGCTGCTCACACACCACTTTGCACAGCTCGTGTACTGAGCTCTCAAGGCCACGCTGTTGCTGGCCGCCCCCTGCTGCATGGGCGAGGGGGCTGCTGTGGGGCTCAGCGAAATTGCTGCTTCTCCCAGGCAAGGCTGTGGACCAGGGAGCTGCAGTCCAGCCAGCGTTGTCTGTGCCCTTCTGCTGCTGGGGCCCAGAGCCAGGTAGGGTGGCTGCAGCCTCACAGACTGGGAGCCCCCAGCCTGCCAGACCTGAAGCTCCAGCATCCTAAGCTCAGCCTGGAGGGGAAAGGGCTAGCAACAGCGTGCGAGGCGCCGTGGGCCCCATCCTCGGCACTGTGTCCTGACACCGCGGTCAGCACCAGACCCCCGGGAGTCTAGGGGCACAGGATGGACACGAGGGTCTGAATAGTGTTACTTTCATTCAGAGTGTTATTTTGTTTCTCCTCCCCATGTCTGGAGACCACCAGGGCATCTCTGGGCTGGATGAGCCCACCCACGTCTGAGGTAAAGCCCAGCATCCCGCAGCCAATGGAAAGCGGAGGCCTGGGCTGCACTCCCCCTGGAGCCCCAGGCCAGCTTTGCCAGTCCCTTTCCTTTACCAAAGATGAATGAAGCAAATGTTATGCTGCCTTATTCAGGGAAGGAGGAGCCTGTCCTGCCTGCCCCCATGACCCTGACCCCCTCCCACCCTCAAGCAGGGGCCTGAGATGTGGAACTGCCCCCACTGAGAGGGAGACCCAGTTTTGTCAATGCAATTGTCTCTGTTTTACAAGTTGGAGTCACTCTTATGCTGTACCCAGTTTCTAAACTGGAGACTTTGTGTGCCCTCTGGGCTCTGAGTACCCCTGCTCTGGGCTTGGGCCTTGGGCCAGATTGGAAAGAGCTGAAGGTCATGGCCTTTGTGCTCCTGGCCTGGCACCTGTTCCCCTCCTGGGGCAGAAAGGACGATGGACAACACAGTGAAGGCATCTGAGCCAGCTGGCTACCCTGAGTGGGCCGTTCAGGGCAGCCAGGGGAGTCGTATCAGGCTGTCTGCGGGTTACGACCTGCTAGGCCAGAGCTCTCTATGCCACCAACTGTGTCCAAAACTGCAAAGCTCTGTTCCTCCTTGGCCAGCCTTGCTCATCCCCATGAGGTCTCAGCCTCTTTCCCTTGTTGCTCCTATGGGGGAGGAATGGCAGCAGGGGGCTGGGAGCCAGTATCTCCAAGCAGCTTAGAGTTGGCCTTATTTACCTCAGCCTGGGCGCTGGTCCTTTCTTCCGGCCCCTCCCCTCCAAAAATGTGCCTATTGCTAGAGCTCCTCCCTCTCCAACACCCAGTTTCCTTGGGAGTTGTCATTAAAGGAAAAAAAAAAAAAAAAAGCCAGTGTCCAGGGATGGGTGTCTCCAAGGAGCTGGGGATTAGCGCCAGGCAGCTCATTGCCAGCCTTGCCCACTTCCCCACGGGCACCAGAACAAGCCAAAGCCTTCGTTGTATGTTGACGATGCACTTTTATGAATGTAGTTTCTATCGCTGTTTTTAGCCTTTTCACATCATGTAATGTGAGGCCTTGTACTTGTTAATTTATATCTCAGATCATATTTGATGGTTTTTATATATATCAATTCTAGACTGTTACAGGTGATGGACGCCTCAAGAGAAGAGAAGAGAAAATGAAAGCAGCTGGTTTTGCAGGAATGTGTGTTGCACGGTGCCAGTTGGGCCTGGGCCCCTGTTTCCATCCTTTTCCCCCAGGGGCCTCTGTCAGGCACCCCCAGGCGGGCGCTCTGAAGACAGTGAGCATGTGCTCCTGCCTCCACCTTGGCTCTTGGCCCAGGGTGGGGACTGGCCCCTTGCCTTGACCAAAGCTGCCGAGCAGCAGCTCGGCCTCTCCACGACCCCGTCCTGATGGCTGTTAGCACTCTTCTTGGGCCCACACCCCCACCCCCAGTCCCTGACACACACACACACGCCC